CGTACCCACTAGAATCTGACAATAAATCAAATAACACCTTACCTCGTACCCACTAGAATCTGACAATAAATCAAATAACACCTTACCTCGTACCCACTAGAATCTGACAATAAATCAAATAATACCTTACCTCGTACCCACTAGAATCTGACAATAAATCAAATAACACCTTACCTCGTACCCACTAGAATCTGACCATAAATCAAATAATACCTTACCTCGTACCCACTAGAATCTGACTATAAATCAAATAATACCTTACCTCTTACCCACTAGAATCTGACCATAAATTAAATAACACCTTACCTCGTACCCACTAGAATCTGACAATAAATCAAATAATACCTTACCTCGTACCTACTGACATCTTACCATTATCCTTAACATCTTACCTCATATTCACTAGCTTCTTACCATAAATCAAATAATACCTTACCTTATACAACTAACATTTTCTATACATCAAATAAAACTTACCTCATACCTACTGACATCTTACCGTAACAAGTAACACATTATCTGAATGAGTTTGTATTTATGCATTTTCAAAATCTAGAGACATCATGAGTAAAACAATGCAAACTCTATAGCAAAACTTCATTAACTGACGATATGACGTCACATCGGTGTACCCGTAGAAATTAGCAACGATAACTATGAACTGAATTGTCTGTCTTCAATTTTCTCAGTGAGATATAATAAACCCGAAATCATTTACGTTTTTATTCTTATAGGTTAAAATTGGTTTTTGATACAATAAGGTTTTGACAACATCCGTTTTAAGCTATTGACGTATATTACTCTAGAGATTTCAAGTGCGAATGTTGAAATGGAAATTTTGTAGTTCAGGATATTTTTACAATTATTGATTTGTGTTTGACTAGTGCTTATTAAAAGCGGTTATAAAACTCTTCACATTTGATATAGTAGCCACACTTTCAGGTCAGGTTTGTTTCTTAAGGAGTCTGAAGGCGTTGACCTTTCGTTCTTGTTAGTGGCTGGAAAACTTTCACATTGTTCATATCATATACTCTCTCCAATGTTCATGTCCCAATTTCATTTGATGCTGGTACCGATTTTGCAGCTCATAACTCTACAGTTTTAACAAAAATTACACACTCCAGATTTAGTCTTATCAAAGATGTATATAAAGTGATGAACATTGTTGGCCTCAAATACATGAAAGTCTGAGACAATTCCAAGCTTTTCATTGGCTTTATTTGCAACTGCGTGGGAGTGAAATACGAATTACAGTTGGTCGTAAAACAACAACGGAACCAACAGGCTAAGTAACGAGAAGCAAACACGTCCAGCTTCACATTGCACAAAGAAAAAGAATAATTCTGAATGAAATCACTATGACAATCGTCAAACTTCACCATAATTTTCATCAGACTGCATCATTTGGAACCCTGTCCGTCAGTTGACAACTTTGTGCACGAAAGTCGTGATAATTGGAACAGCTCCTTGAATATCGAATCAGCTGCGTCATGCCAATATCATGGATTGATAATGCAGTAATGTTTCTAACCAGAAATGGAAAATTCATAGAAGGGGAAGAGGATACCAGTCACTACCTTATCATATAGTATACTTCCAACAAAAATGTTCGTAATAATGTATTTCAAAATGAAAACCATATCTATTACATCCCCACTACGGCATATATATTGTCTTGATGTGGAACCTAATTGAAACAACATTTACTGAAACATGAAATTTTATTTTAAACAACAATTTAACGTATATTTGACGGTGTTAACCTTTGAATACCGTTGATGTGATTTGATATGATAGGGAGGTTACAGTGTTATACAGCGGTAAACGACTTCACTTACACCTTGGTGTTTTTTTGTGACACAAATGATTAAATCTGTCGTCTTTTTTGACATTTCAAATTTCCATCTAGCTGTTCCCTAACCAATAGTGACCTTTTAACAAGCGCCATGGTCACAAATGCCTGTTAGTGACTACGAACAATTTACAGAAACAAAATAACAAGCTAGTTACGTTTCAGATCTTGGTTTAGGGACGGAGTTTCACAACCTCCGCTCAGACTTCTGTTCGGTGTAGTATACATACTTCTGCATAACAAAGAGTGATTTCTTTTTCATTAAGTATGAAAAATGTCATCTGTTTATCTTTGTCACGTTTTAGTGTAAATGCGTTTGTAAGAATTATCAAGTCACTAGACGGTGACCATATCCATCCATGTACTCTTTTGGTTGTTTAGATGACAAGAAGAAATGATGTATATATACAATTTAATGTGAATAGTGTTTCAAGAATTAAAAAGACGACACTCAACGTACAGAACTGATATATTTTAAAGGATAAACAAAAAGGACCGATATTCGACCATCAGTGAGAGAAAACAATAAATATTTACACACAGAACAGTGTAGCATGTTAAAAACTGCTGTCGTTTAAGTTGTGTTTTTCATGCTTAGTGAGGCTGGTGGTCCAGTTGTAAACGAGGCGAGTTTCGGAGAACGGAAGACGATCAGTCATCTTCGCTATTACGATAACGGATGAAATTAGACTTGATAGACGAGGAGAGGGAGGTTGGCGTGACGGATGAGGAAACATTATACAGTATTCGGGTCACTGTTCCCTATTTAAGATTTGTGTATGTATTACCTACTGTGAATTAGATGCATCAACAGTTTTAGTGAACAGGAATCTGTTAAGGTAGAGAATTATACTTAACAAAGGAAATATAAATCCTGGTCAAAATCAGGCACAGAGACTATCAGCCCGAGGGGCAGGGGTACATGGCCGGTAAAGTTAGAACGTTGATAAGGTCAAACCTACTGATCTCATGTCTATACACTTTTATCAAGACAATATAAAAAATCTAGCTAAAAAAAAAAAATAAATAAATAAAATAAGTCTAACAGGTAATGAATGTCATATGGGGACAGATCTGGATCTACCGGAGATAAGGACTCTTTATAACACTAAGCTAATATGTCATATGGGGACAGATCCCGGAGATAAGGACTCTTTATAACACTAAGTTAATATGTCATATGGATCTACCGGAGATAAGGACTCTTTATAACACTAAGTTAATATGTCATATGGGGACAGATCTGGATCTACCGGAGATAAGGACTCCTTATAACACAAGTTAATATGTCATATGGGGACAGATCTGGATCTACCGGAGATAAGGACTCCTTATAACACTAAGTTAATATGTCATATGTCATATGAGGGACTCCTTATAACACTAAGTTAATATGTCATATGGGGACAGATCTGGATCTACCGGAGATAAGGACTCCTTATAACACTAAGTTAATATGTCATATGGGGACAGATCTGGATCTACCGGAGATAAGGACTCCTTATAACACTAAGTTAATATGTCATATGGGGACAGATCTGGATCTACCGGAGATAAGGACTCCTTATAACACTAAGTTAATATGTCATATGGGGACAGATCTGGATCTACCGGAGATAAGGACTCCTTATAACACTAAGTTAATATGTCATATGGGGACAGATCTGGATCTACCGGAGATAAGGACTCTTTATAACACTAAGTTAATATGTCATATGGGGACAGATCTGGATCTACCGGAGATAAGGACTCTTTATAACACTAAGTTAATATGTCATATGGGGACAGATCTGGATCTACCGGAGATAAGGACTCCTTATAACACTAAGTTAATATGTCATATGGGGACAGATCTGGATCTACCGGAGATAAGGACTCCTTATAACACTAAGTTAATATGTCATATGGGGACAGATCTGGATCTACCGGAGATAAGGACTCTTTATAACACTAAGTTAATATGTCATATGGGGACAGATCTGGATCTACCGGAGATAAGGACTCCTTATAACACTAAGTTAATATGTCATATGTCATATGGGGATAAGGACTCCTTATAACACTAAGTTAATATGTCATATGGGGACAGATGGATCTACCGGAGATAAGGACTCCTTATAACACTAAGTTAATATGTCATATGGGGACAGATCTGGTTCTACCGGAGATAAGGACTCCTTATAACACTAAGTTAATATGTCATATGGGGACAGATCTGGATCTACCGGAGATAAGGACTTATAACACTAAGTTAATATGTCATATAACACTAAGTTAATATGTCATATGGGGACAGATCTGGATCTACCGGAGATAAGGACTCTTTATAACACTAACTAAGTTAATATGTCATATGGGGACAGAGATCTACCGGAGATAAGGACTCCTTATAACACTAAGTTAATATGTCATATGGGGACAGAGGACTACCTTATAACACTAAGTTAATATGTCATATGGGGACAGACGGAGATAAGGACTCTTTATAACACTAAGTTAATATGTCATATGGGGACAGATCTGGATCTACCGGAGATAAGGACTCTTTATAACACTAAGTTAATATGTCATACATATATAACTGGCTCGTTAGCATCACCCTGTCAGTTGGTACGGAACAGAAATGGAGACAATATTGAGTGGATGGTGATTGGAACAGGTATACCACAACAAAACTCCGCATAACGTTTATTCACGAATGACAGCATTTCTAGACGAGAAAACAGACTTCAGGCATGTGTTTAAAATTATGAATACATTAATTTGTAATTCAAGCGCCAGACAGAATGTGTACATTGAGCACTTTTGTGAATTAATCAAAATACATGAAGGGTGTCGCGTTACTTGTACATATCATTACATGTACGTTTGGGAAAAAACGTGGAAAATTAAAGTCTTTATGTTACAAATTAATTCCTCTTCGATATATTTTATGTAGAAGTGTATACATATATATTTTGCTTATACAAAGAAGCTCTATCTGTGTTATATATAACAGTTCTATGATTTACCTATCGTAACTGTGAGCCCCGCGCTGTCTCGTAATGGTAGGTATATACAAAATGACAATACATGTATGTGTGGGACCCGTTCCAGCTTATTACTGGTTTTTGGTATAAAAGTGTGGCGCGCTATTAAAGCGATGATTTGTCGCGGGGTATGCCGGCCTATTAACCATAGGTAGGCTGACGATGAGTTAACTCTCTACTCGCTACACTCACAGCCCCACGAACAGTTGCACGGAATCTTTTTTCACGGGCTTCGGAAAATGTGTGCAGAAAGTTTCATCGGAATCAACTGTTTCGATAGGAAGATTGAATATGTTTGTACAGCTTGGGTATAAAATTACTATACAGTATACGTGTCTACTTCTGATTTTGTTGGTTCCAACTTCGGCCAATCAGTGCGTCCTACAGAACGGACAGTGTACATACAACATACTTTTGTCTCAACAGACAGGAGAGTGCTCAACAGGGGGAGTTAATTTTAGTGACCAGCAGGATGACAATTCAAACCGACACGTCCGCGTATTAGAAAACGACCTTGACGTGATAAAGACAAATCATGAGGACAGAATCCTCGAACTTGAAGCATCCGTACAGAAACTCCTCCGGGATGCGGTACCGGCTGGTCCCCGGAACCCCGGGGGAGAGGTCGGTACCTTCACCAATAATGTCGCAGTGGGGCCAGGTCCGATCCAACAGGCTCCTAATCGCACTGAAAACGGTCTACTGTCCCGGCTGAGTCGGGAATTCTCGTCTCTTCGTGACGAACTTAAAGAAAAGACATTGGCTCTCCTGGAGAAGGAGACAAGATACAACGAGACCGTGAACGCCCTTAGGGAGGCCCAGGAGGACCTTCTTGATACAGGAGAGGAACTTATACTGGCCGAACACAAGGCGGCAACGTTACAGAGGGAAGGATACATCCTCAAAAACCAACTCAAGGACAAATCGGCAAGGCTTGAGGCAGCCACCGAGAAACTCAATGTTTCTGAAACAAAACGTAAAGCTATGGAAATTCAACTATACGAACTTGTAAGGTCAGAAGCGAACCTCAAGGAAGAGATGGGATACTATATATATAAGTTAAATAAAACAGAAAAAGCTTTAAATGTTTTACAACAAAATCACACGGATCTTAAACATAGGCACGCGCGGACCAAACGAATGCTAAGAAAGACGGAGGAGGAGTTGATGGAATGCTATGCAGGTAAGTTGTAGAATTATGTAGACAGTGTTTTAGAAGTCATCCTTGGTTCTATGGTCACGTCGGAGGTTTTTATCGGTCATTTGAATCGAGTAAAAGAAATCAGAAGTTAAATTAACAATAGCAGGGGAAAATGCAGACCATGTTATCTATTATTCAAGCTAGAATAATCTCGGGAACGTCAGACAGCTATTACATTTAATTACTGAAACATTCAAACGACCGTAAGAAAACGTCTTTTTTCACCGAGAGGAAATATTGTTATTGGGCGTTGTTGTGATACAATACCAAATTGGCAGAGATCGTAGCAGGACGTTATAGATAATTAGAAAATACATAAATCTATAGGTTTCCGTGGCGTCATCGAATACCATGTCTTCCGCTAATGGTTTAATTATCCTCTCTATCCCTGTATACACCGGATAGGTGTATCAAAGGCGGAACCCTTGGATTTCAAAGATGTCTTTGCGGACGATTGAATGCTCACGTCAGCAACGGAATCTTCCCAGATAACTTACATACACGGACGTCGTATCGTGTTTAACTTTGCAGTAGTAAAGGCGGCACCTTACGATAATTGTCACTTAATGATTTATTTATAGAAAACTTCCCTATCCTATCTATAAATTCTTCTACTCGTAACCCCATTACCTATCACCAATTACAGCCCCTCCTCCTTCCTTTAACTCCCCTACGACCACCCTATCACATATCTTCAATCTTAACACATCTTCTTTCATCCCTACAATATGTCCCCATGTCTATTTTAACCCCACTACCTCCTTCGCTCACAATTGCCTCTACTCCCACCCTATATGTAGTCCCCACCATTGTGACCTCTGATCACTTCCCTTTACCTCGCCCATATATGACCCCTTGTGATATAATATTGGTGACCACTAACGTCCTATAGTCAAGCACACGTAACATCGGAATGTATGCGTCGTTATGGAAGAATTTCCCAGGAATCATTTGAGCAGTTTATGTATAATTTGGTGAGAATCAGCTGTTTTGATGTAGGTGTTGTGTAGGTAAGGAAACTCTAGCCAAACCTTCCACTTGTATCGCTGTGATGCCATGTCACATTTAACTCTGAAAATACCTTAAGGTAATACAAGACACATTAGTGTCGTCATTGATGACAAACATTTACGAATAGGGGATTAAATTATCACCCGTGAAGTTTAAAGTAATTACATGAATGTCACCACTGCATGTCGTATGCACCGCCGAGGTATATCAATGATGCACACTATCAAAATTACTGTCACGTGTACCGCACAATTGATAAAATCCGCTTACAAAGCGCATTCATTGTCAATATCGAAACCACAAACTAAGCAGAAACACCATGTTTAAGGCTTTTATGTTTTCATTCATATATATCAGCCATGTAACCACAGTATAGAATACGTAATACTACAACCGGTAGTGAGGAATGAAAACCTAGACTGACACGTTATATTAACATACTATTTATACGGTAATGCAGAAAAATAAGAACTGCCGTTCATCATCAGCTTCAGATTTATAATGTCTCGTTTCCTGAATTAATTCCATTTTATATCTCGTTTTGTATATTTTAGTCGCCTCTGTATCTCCCCGTCTCTATATCTGTTATATCTCCTCATCTCTATATCTGTTATATCTCCTCGTCTCTATATCTGTTGTACATCCCGGTCTCTATGTCTGTTGTATCTCCTCTTCTCTATAGCCGAATATTTACCTGTCTCTATATCTGTTGTATTTCCCCGTCTCTATTATGCTGTATCTCCCCATCTCTATATCTGTTGTATCTCCCCGTCTCTATATCTGTTGTATCTCCCCGTCTCTATATCTGTTGTATCTACCTGTCTCTATATCTGTTGTATCTCCCCGTCTCTATATCTGTTGTATATCCCCGTCTCTATATCAGTTGTATCTCCCTGTCTCTATATCTGTTGTATTTCCTCGTCTCTATTATGCTGTATCTCCCCGTCTCTATATCTGTTGTATCTCCCCGTCGCTATATCTGTTGTATCTCCCCGTCTCTATATCTGTTGTATCTCTCCGTCTCTACATCTGTTATATCTCCCCGTCTCTATATCTGTTGTATCTCCCCGTCTCTATATCTGTTATATCTCCCTGTCTCTATATCTGTTGTATCTCCCCGTCTCTATATCTGTTGTACCTCCCCGTCTCTTTATCTGTTATATCTCCCTGTCTCTATATCTGTTGTACCTCCCCATCTCTCTATCTGTTATTTATCCCCGTCTCTATATCTGCTGTATCTCCCCGTCTCTATATCTGTTGTATCTCCCGTCTCTATATCTGTTATATCTCCCGTCTCTATATCTGTTATATCTCCCGTCTCTATATCTGTTGTATCTCCCCGTCTCTATTATGCTGTATTTCCCCGTCTCTATATCTGTTGTATCTCCCCGTCGCTATATCTGTTGTATCTCCCCGTCTCTATATCTGTTGTATCTCCCCGTCTCTATATCTGTTATATCTCCCTGTCTCTATATCTGTTGTATCTCCCCGTCTCTATATCTGTTGTACCTCCCCATATCTATATCTGTTATATCTCCCCATCTCTATATCTGTTGTATCTCCTCGTCGCTATATCTGTTGTATCTCCCCGTCTCTATATCTGCTGTATCTCCCCGTCTCTATATCTGCTGTATCTCCCCGTCTCTATATCTGTTATATCTTCCTGTCTCTATATCTGTTGTACCTCCCCATCTCTACATCTGTTATACCTCCCCATCTCTATATCTGTTATATCTCCCCATCTCTATATCTGTTGTATCTCCCCGTCTCTATATCTGCTGTATCTCCCCGTCTCTATATCTGTTGTATCTACCTGTCTCTATATCTGTTATATCTTCCTGTCTCTATATCTGTTGTACCTCCCCATCTCTACATCTGTTATACCTCCCCATCTCTATATCTGTTATATCTCCCCATCTCTATATCTGTTGTATCTCCCCGTCTCTATATCTGTTGTATCTCCCCGTCTCTATATCTGTTATATCTCCCCATCTTTATGTCTGTTGTACCTTCCCATCTCTATATCTGTGTATCTCCCCGTCTCTATATCTGTTGTATCTCCTCGTCTCTATATCTGTGTATCTCCCGGTCTCTCTATCTGTTGTATCTCCCCTTCTCTATTGCCGAATATTTACCTGTCTCTATATCTGCTGTATCTCCCCTTCTCAATCGCCGAATATCTTCCTGTCTCTATATCTGCTGTATCTCCCCTTCTCAATCGCCGAATATCTCCCTGTCTCTATATCTGCTGTATCTCCCCTTCTCAATCGCCGAATATCTCCCTGTCTCTATATCTGCTGTATCTCCCCTTCTCAATCGCCGAATATCTCCCTGTCTCTATATCTGCTGTATCTCCCCTTCTCAATCGCCGAATATCTTCCTGTCTCTATATCTGTTGTATCTCCCCGTCTCTATATCTGTTGTATCTCCCCGTCTCTATATCTGTTGTATCTCCCCGTCTCTATATCTGTTGTATCTCCCCATCTCTATGTCTGTGTATCTCCCCGTCTCTATATCTGTTATATCTCCCTGTCTCTATATCTGTTATATCTCCCCGTCTGTATATCTGTTGTGTCTCACCATCTCTATATGGAAAACAAATGCAATGTGTTTTGAAAATCTTAGATCACAAGTTAAAAAAAAATCTTGTTGAAAGCATTTTTCTGTGATTCTTCCGAATTTCACCGGAGATGTAAATAATTTCCGCTGTTTAACAATATTCGAGATATCCTGAAGTCTTGGATTATTTCACCCCGGGATTATCTCCTAAATCTGATGTTTCGACGCATTCCTGACATCACTACAGCATCGTCTTCTGTGCGCTACGTGCATAACAACAGGTACAGCTGGTCATCCAAGCGTGTAATTGATATAATGATGCCACACTTTACGACGTGGCTTGATCTTCTTTCTATTTACCAGAACGAGGCGAATTTTATTGGCTGACCATCCGAGACCGGACTCAAGAGTAATCGGAGTAGGTCTCTCGGTAAATGTAAATCGCAATGGGCTTTTTTATATAAACACCTTAAAATATTCTGAAACTGAATTATTGTACTTAACTGAGTATTGCTATTTATATATTGCTATAGACACGGGGAAAATATGTCGTCTCTTACCGGAAGGTATTTCCGCCCGACACGCATAAAATAAATGCTCGCTTGCGGTTTGAATTCATTTGGATAACACATATAAAGATATAGAGCAGTTTAGATTTACATAATTTGAAACAGAAAGTTAGTTATTCTGATAAAAGTGTACCGCTAAAGCGCCGAAGTCCATTTTCTGAAACAAAATGCGTTTAAGGGATTTGGATGGCGAAAACTCTCCAGCACACATATGATTGTTCAGGTAGCAGACAACCATTCGAAAGTCATACTTAGGACGTTGTGACGCTTATAAAAGTACATTTTTTCCTCGTCTGTTTCCAAAAGTTATGTAAGAAACATGGCCGGAATTGTAAAGAAATTTCTCGTACCCGAGACAGGGATATCCCACGTAATACCCCATCCTACATTTTTCTGACTCGTCCGAACTGTGAAGTACCCTTACGTGCGTTTTTCCGAATTTTTTTACGCACAGGTGTATTCATCCACATGTACGTGTAGGTGGCACCTACACCCGTACATTTCAACAAAACACGTAGGTTAGGTCGTTGTTAAAATTTCAGCGATGTTCTATTTTAATTAATCACAACTGAAATGAAATATAAACATCTTCACTGTAAAATGTGTTGTATTTTGTGTAAGTGCGGTCTGCATTATTTACGCGGCGCTATTTAAAAATGAACAGGCTGTGTGGGTAGTGTGAGGCTCCCACGGGATTCCAAACTCTGATGAAATATTAAATACTTTTCAGAGTAGTAAGTGCGAGCGAAAAAAATCGATTACCTGTAACAGGCAGAGTCTCTGGCTAAGATCCTGTAACATCCTAACCTCTGCTGACGCCTCGGTTGGGACTATATTACAGGA